CCTCATTTTGCGTTTCCTCAGTTGATACCGTTTCTTCCTCAGCAATTGCTTCAGATGGAGAAGCTGGCTCAGGTGCCTCGTTTTGAATTTGCGATTCATTTGATGGTTCTTCTGAAACTGCCTCAGTTTGCGTTTCCTCAGTTGATACCGTTCCCTCATCAGCAATTTCTTCTGATGAAGTTACTGACTCGGTTGCTTCATTTGGAATTTCCGCCTCATTTGATGGTTCTTCTGACACTGCCTCATTTTGCGTTTCCTCAGTTGATACCGTTTCTTCCTCAGCAATTGCTTCAGATGGAGAAGCTGGCTCGGTTGCCTCGTTTTGAATTTGCGATTCATTTGATGGTTCTTCTGAAACTGCCTCAGTTTGCGTTTCCTCAGTAGATACCGTTCCCTCCTCAGCAATTTCTTCTGATGGAGTTACTGTCTCGGTTGCTTCGTTTGGAATTTCAGCCTCAATTGATTGTTCTTCTGACACTGCCTCAGTTTGCGTTTCCTCAGTAGATACCGTTCCCTCCTCAGCAATTTCTTCTGATGGAGTTACTGTCTCGGTTGCTTCGTTTGGAATTTCAGCCTCATTTGATGGTTCTTCTGACACTGCCTCAGTTTGCATTTCCTCAGTTGATACCGTTCCCTCCTCAGCAATTTCTTCTGATGGAGTGATTGCCTCGGTTGCTTCGTTTGGAATTTCAGCCTCATTTGATGGTTCTTCTGACACTGCCTCATTTTGCGTTTCCTCTGTTGATACCGTTCCCTCATCAGTCATTTCTTCTGATGCAGTAACTTCCTCAAATGCTGCGTGTGGGATTTGCGCCTCATATGATGGTTCTTCTGATACTGCCTCATTATGCGTTTCCTCAGTTGATACCGTTCCCTCCTCAACAATTTCTTCTGATGGAGTTACTATCTCCGATGCCTTTTTTGGAATTTCGGCCTCATTTGATGGTTCTTTTGAAACTTCTTTATTTTTCGTTTCCTCGCTTAATTTCGTATTCTCATTAGCTATTTCTTGTTGTTTTTTTGATTTTACTTCTATTGATATTTTGTCTTTATGTGTTATCTCTTCGAATTCGATTTTATCTTTTCCTTTGCCTTCTTTTATTTCGATCTCTTCTTCATTTCGCTCCCTACAGCATTCCTCTTCATCTTCACCATTTTCTTTCAATAATTCTATTGCTTCTTTACTCTTTTCTAGTATTTCTTCTCTCCCTTGTATTCCAAATACATGATCCAAAATCCTTAATAATGCTTTACCAAATTTCTCAATTGTTTCAGGCTCCTTTATCTCATTTCTCATACCTCCTTCCTCTGCTAACACAACTGCCACTGTTATTACAAACCACAATGTAAGTATATTCTTTTTCATCGTAATATTCCGTAATGATTTCTAGATCATTCTTTTATTTTACTTATATACTCTTTTAGATTCTTTTGTTTTCTTTGTTTTATTTCGCTCCACTTTTTCTTCCTCACCCTTTTACACATTTCTTGCCCATCTTTGGCAATTTCTTTCTCTATCCTAGTTACTTTCTTGTCATATTTGCACCTAAACTTTCTTACCTGCGTTTGACCTGACTGCTGCCTCTATTCTTTGCTTTATAATATTCTCTATCAGCCTCATATCAAGCCATACGTACCTAGATACGAGTGCATGCAAAATTCATGCGTGATTTAACCTAGTTTTATCTGGCCCTATTATACCATACAGTTCTTGTAGGTTGAGCATTTTCGCTATACTCACTTCAATGGACCAGGTAGAAGTAGAATAATAGTTTAGCTACTGATCTGTAGGTATTATTATATTAAATCATGTTATTCTGAGAAGTATTAAAACTTTATATATTTATGCATTTATATTTTAGGATGGTTTTATTCGGTATTTCCTTCTGATGATATTTGGTCTGTTACTGCTGTAATATTACCTTTCTGAAATGCAAATTGCCGATAACCCTTATAGAAATACAGAGCTGCGTAACCAAAACTCTTCTAACCACTTGAAGTAATGGCAAAAGTTACTGGAATCACATATCTTTTATTCTGGTTGAAGTAAAATATAATTACTTTGAACATATAGTGGATCGCTATTCACTTTTATTCAGTAAGGCAACTTTTCTAGGGAAAAAATGCAATACTTCACTCAAAAGAAATTATTTGAAATAAAATTACTGGGAATTCTCAGACCCTCTTGAAGGTGAGTAAAAAACCGACTTTAAAGTTATTCGTAAGGATAATTATTCTCACCCTCGAAATTGTTTGCCGCAATAAAAAATGAAATTGAAAATCCTTTCTGTTTTTACTTGCAGATGCTAAAATAAAATATTTTATGCAAAGGCGGACTGGAGTATTTTTCAGGTGAACAGAATGTTTTCCCAATATGACCGTCATATGACCTGAATTAGCTAGCCAAATAACTAATTGATCCAACGCGTTAATTAACTTTACTCTTTCGATCCCGATAGCTTTGGCATGTGATACCAGCTCATAGCAAGTTATTAAGTTCGATACCGATATCCCCTATATGTCAAACATCCTTCCTTGGTAGTCCAAGATACTTAGAATCATTGTGGTAAAGCCCTGAAATATACTAAACAGAATCTACCTACAGGGAAATGCTAAGTTTTAAAGGAGCTTTAATGATTTCAC